GATGCCACAGGATTGCAAAAGGGTGTGAAGACCGCTGGTTCGGGCTTTGAGAAACAGCTCTCTGCCCCCAGGCTCTTTTCATTTTCAAGGAATATTGCTCTCTCTCTTGCCTAACTCGTGGGCTTGTTCTGAGTAATGTATGTAAAGGATGTTTTTATCATGTAAATCACCGTAAGTAGGACATTTGCTCTCAATGTGGTTAATCCCATTTCACGGGAAATAATGCCGAAGGCGCAGCGCCCCCTACCGTTCACCTCTCCGGAACTTGCACAGACAGCCTTTCGCTATGTGCCCGCACTGAACGGGAGAATTCAGGGCACTGGGTCACACCTCTGGAGGGGACCATTTGGTGGCAGTGGGAGCTTTGTGGCACACCTTCAGTCACGCTGCACAGGGCACCCGTCCTGCCTGCGAAGCCCCGAACTCGAACAGGCCGGTCCTGCTGCGAGTGCCGGGACCCCCCGACTCCAGACAGCCCTCCTTGGGGTCCTCAGGCTCTGGAAATAGTTAATGACGCAATGATCCCGGTAGTGGCACCTGACACCCTGCTGGGAAGGAAGATAAACCAGCCTGCGCCATAAAGAACTTACAAATTATTCTAAGCAAACATGTTAACCGCTATTAAGACTCCTAATCAGAGCTGTTAAACAAACAATTAAGAGATGTCATATAAAATGCACCCATTTGGGAAGAGCAGCGACACGTTTGGAGTTTTTAAAGGAGCCATTTCCCCCCGAGAGAGAGTCAAGGGCAGGCAGAAGCACTTCTCTGAGCAAATCCGCTTTCTGAGCTTCAAGTCCCATGGAGAGAGCCTTGCCCCCAGTGGTATGAACTTAAGATTTATTTGGGGTCTCATAACTGTTTACTTGGAAAATCACTCTTGTGTCTTCAGACGTGACTTCTTGTACATAGTGCTTCCTTAAAAGGCCAGGAAAGTGTTGCTCAAACCTGATAGTAAAGGTCAAGAAGAAATGTCCTCTGCGGACCTCGATTCAGGGTAGGCGGAGATTTCACTCCACCGCTGCCTGAAGCCTCGCTGTCTTTTGTGTGACCCCGCAACACCTGGACCCCATGGGCACTCGTCACCAATGCAGGGTCTTGAGCCTCCCACCAAACCTGCAGAATCAGCATCTGCACTTTAATAAGCTTCTCAGATCCCTGAGATGGACATTAAAATTTTAAAAGGAGATGCCAATGTGCCAGGTTCCCACTACCAGAACTCTTGTCAGGAGAATCAATGTGTAATCTTCTCGGAAAGTAAAAATCCAGCCCCTCCCTTCAGGAAGGTGGAGAAATAGGGGGACAGTTGCCGAATGGTTAAACATGCCTCCGGTTGTCCCCTCTGGGACGCTTGTCTGGTGGTAGCATCTGGGGTTTCCGACACGGTGCACCGTCCCCGCCACTCAGTCCCGACTGGTGGGCTTCCCTGCTCTTCAAGTTCACGTCCCCATGACATACGCAGTGCGGCTCCCACTTCCCTGGAAAATGAGTGCCTCGGGCTGAAGACCTTCTGAGAGGGTGTGAATGAGCCAAGCCATGCTCTCGCCAGCCGGGGCCCCACCTGTTCTTGCACAGTGGGGTGCTCGGAGTCTACCCTCTGATTCTGGTTAGGTCAGCACCACGTGGCGGAGTCCACCCTTCAAATCGTGCCGCATTTGTGCATTAAGAGAATGAGTGGCTTTTGTAGCTTCTCACTGAAGAAGAGTCCGGGATGACGGAAATTAAACTTTACTATTTATACATTGCGAAGAATTCAGATTCCTTCCATTGGCAGGTTTTCACAGAGGTCACAGACATCCCATAGAGGACCCGGCATGAGGACGTTTTCAACGTCTGATTTTGATGTTTGCAGTGAGCTGTCCAAGGCGATAGTAAAAGTAGAGCCGTACCACATCCTACAAATAAGTGGAATTTCACAGTGAGCAGCGAGCGAGGACTGAGTAAAGCATTAGTTGAGTTATGCAGTTAAAAAAAATCCTGTGGAGGAAATTATAATAATGCTTTTTTATAACTGTTCTGGGGGAAAAAAATCAACTCTAAGAAAGTTACAACAGGCCTAATTAATGCTCAAATTGTTTCCCCTAAGAAACAGAGTTTTAGAAATGTAACGTAAGTGGGCTTCCTGGAAAATCTCCTTGTCTGGACTTAATGGTTATTCAATGTTCTTTCTGACATCGTAACACAGAACGCTTCAAAACAGGAAGGGAAAGGTTCCCCGTTGCTGCTCTCTCATTGGTTCCCGTGCGAGTGAGACCAGACACGAGACCGGAGAACGCTGCCTGTTTTTACCGAGCACTGTGGGCTGTTCAGATCGTGGTTATGTTTTGGTTGAAGACAGTTTGATCATGTTTTTAAAAACAGGTATTTGGTTCATGGAATAGTTGACGGGAAAGATAAGTGTAATTACATTAGCTCGGATTTTTTTTTTCCTCCGTCAAGTTCCATACCTTAGTCACGTGTCCCTGGATGGTCCTGCTTCCGACCCCCCCCCCCTTTCTAACTGAGTGGCCTGGGACAGGTCCTTTAGCTGCTCTATGGCTTGGTTTCCTTGTCTGTCAAAGAGGGCTCACAGTTAAACCTGCCTGTTATGGGTTATGCGAGGACTAAATGAGAAGATACATTTAAAAATGTTTCACGGACCCCTGTCCCACAGTAAGAGTCCCCATCGTGGGGACACTGAATTACTTCCATTGCACCGCCGTTCAGCCGTGCTCGACCAAAACGTGTTACGAAGTCCTGCCGTCCTATTCTGAAGAGTCGAGTGGCCACGTGGCCCTAAAACATAGCAATTCCACCCTTTCAGAAGACACGAAGCCCTCCTCCCTGGACCCTGGTTTCTCCTCTCTCTTCCTGGAGCCAAACTTCTTGGAACGGCTACCTGGCCCCGATCTGCAGCCCCCCACCACCCCTGCTCCTCGGCCCAGCCTCAAGGGCTGCGAGGTGGCGGGCACACGTGTGGTCCGCGTCTTCCCGACTGCTCAGCCCAGTGGCCACTTTTCAGCCCTGGTGTCATCGGTCTTCATGCAGCTGCGGGGGCCCTTCTGCCCAGTGTTCTTCACACTGTTCCCTGGCCCTCCTCTTCCGCTCCTGTTCCCAGAATCCCTTGCTCGACCTCCTTCCACACACACATCACAGGCTCACTGCCAGTTCCTGCTGAGAACCCCCAGTATGGGTGTTTCTGCCCTTTTTCTCTCTCCCTGCCCCCCACTCCCTGTTCTGGAGCCGCAGAGTGTGTGTTCAATAAGTTCCCCAACCCTGCCTATCCACACCCAGGCGTGAGGTAATATGCAAGGCTCTCCGATCATAATAATATTTATTGATGAACGACCCAGCAGGCTTTACGAGGCCGTGACACAGAATCTATTTTATTCTCCTGTCATCGGGAGCTTCCTCCTCTTCATTCGCACAGGACGAGATTTGTCTCAATCGGCCGCCACGGCCAGATGCGGAGACTTGAGCAGCCGCGAAGATTGGATGGAAATGAGTTTAGCTTTGCCTGGTGGTGTGTGGAGGGCGCTTCTTTGGATCGATTCGGAATATAGATGAGGAGAGGTGTTGCGTTCCGTGTGGCGAGGTTTGATTCGAAGCGATGGTTGGAGCGGTAACGAGTCTCCGGAGCCCGCAGGTGCTGTCCGGCTGGGAGAGGGCTTCTCAGAGATGGTCAGCCCGCCGTGCGTACCTGAGTCCGGTGACTTCAGGCTGCAACCCAAACTCCAACACACCGAGGGTTTTGATTTCCAGAGGGATCCTGGTAAAAAGATTCAGTCTTCTTTACCTCTCCAATTTTTAATCTCTTTTTTCTGGCCACGTTACTCAAATTGAACTACGTCTTTCGAATGACCGATTCGTTCAGTGTGCACTTACTGAGACCCCCACTAAGTGGCAAGCGCGTGCCAGCCCCTGGGGGTGACAGGTTGACTGAGGTAGACGCTGATGTTTCTGGCTACTTGGGGAGGGAGGTGCCCATCAAATAATTATGTAATAATTATCAGCCAAATGTGTACGCCTACAAGAAAGCCTTAACTAACAAAATAAACAAGCAAACAAAGTAGAAACAGACTCATAGATACAGAGACCAGACAGAGCCAGGGAGAGGGGTGGGGAGTTGAGTGACAAAGGGGACGAGATGAGGAAGCACAGACTGGCAGTCACAGGACAGTCACAGAGAGACACCAAGTACACACAGGGGACACAGGAACAGCGTGATAACCACGTACAGGGCCACCGCGGGGCGCGTGAGGCAGAGGGCCCACTCTGTAAAGTACGTGGCTTTTTAACCCACTTGGCTCTGCATGTGAGACTGATCCAGAACAATGTTCAGTGTGAACTGTAATTGAAAAAAATTAAAAATTAAAGAAAGCCTTTTGTCCTGGGCCCCCGGAGGCCCCTTGAAGAAGCGGCATGTACCAGGGACCCGGCAGGCTGGTGGCGGGCTGTGGGTCGGAGCGGAGGCCTTCCAGCACGGCCGTCTGACAAGGTCTGAAGGCGGGGTGGGGGGCCCCAATGCGAGGCCCAGAGGAGGCAGCCGAGTGCTGGGAGAACTGTGGGCCCTGGAGAACCAGCGAGAGGCCCAGGCAAGTGGGGCTGACGCGGTGACCTTGTCCACACACAGGGGCCGGCCCTCCCAGTGGGGACACTGAGTGCTCGCAGGTCCGTTTTTACACGGTACCACGTGGGGCCCCTTGGAAATTCAGCCGTTTGGACCTGATTTTGAACAGCCCTCCCGGGATGCACCTGGCCTGCCGTACCCTGCACAGGTTTCAAGTGCACAGGTCCACACCTGTGAGGGCACCATCCCTCAAGCTTATTCCTCGTCCCTGGAAGTGTCCTTGTGCCCATGACAGCCCCTCCCACCCCCACTCCTGCCTGCAGGGATGACCTGTCCATCAACCTAACGCAAAGCCTGGCCCACAGGTGGGCTTCGTTGAAGAGGGGGAGCGCGGGTCCGTCTGGGGGCGAGAGAGCTCTGGGCGTGACCTCTGGCTGGTGTCTCCCTGCAGGTGTGCAGCGCGGTCCAGAACCAGGACCTCACAGTCATCGAGGACTACTGCTCGGGCCTCCGGGCCCTGCTGTACCTGAAGAGCATCGAGGAGCTGCAAGACTGGGACGGGCAGAGCCCCGCGACTGTGAGCCACCAGAAAGGGAAGCCAGTGGCGCACATTCCTGAGCTCACGGGAAAGGTACGTGCTTGCCCCGCTGGCTGGCTCGGGGCCGGGGGCTTCTGTTTCAGGTCGGGGCCCCTCCTGCGGCACCCAGCAGAGCACCCAGTGGTCTCCCCAGGAGCTGGGTGCCCACTGAGGCAGGACTGCCGCTACACAGCGGTCCCATTGCTGTAAGGCCAATGGGACACGAGGTCACATGAAAAGACCAGGTCGGTGCGCGCCAGCAAAACGCCTCCTGATTCTCGCTTCCCGGGACGGGGACTACTGCCCTTTCCGGTGGGAGGCTGGAGATCTCTTTATTCCTTAACAAGCTCTGAAAATTGCACCATTCCCTTCCCATTTCCGAGATAATCAAATCACTGGAGCCCTGAAGCATGTGATGAAGTTTTTAAAAGTCAAATCTAATCAGCGCCTTTTGTAACCGCCTCTGCTGATGTGGTTAAACCTGGGCTCAGAAGGCTGCGCCCAGCTCTCTCCCTAACTGCTGTTTTCCGAGAAACGTGGCCCACGTTTACCTTCCGCGCAATGCGGAGACTTCAGCAAAACCTCTTCTCAAACAGCGCTCGGCAGGCGCCTCTGTGCTTCCTCTGTGTTGTTCTAAACAGATGGACGTTGTAGGAAGACGTTTCTCGGGCTCTGGATGAGGGAGGGCAGAGTTACAATTCTTAGTCTTTTCAGCTTGTCGCTACATCAATAATTAACTTTAAGAAAGAGAGAGAGAAGCAAGCATAAAGAGACTCTTTAAGGAAGCATTTAATAATTCAAATGAGTCTTGACTGGAAGCAGGTCACAGGAAAAAGAACGGGAAGTAAAACCCTGTACCCTGCCGCGGAGGGCGGGGCCCGGGCTGCGGACAGGAGCCCTGTCCTGTAACTGACTCAGGTGGCTTTGGCGGGGAACATCGCTGCTCCTCTCCTGGCGGAGAGGCAAAAACAATGACTTCTTGAAGGCTAGAGGGTGTGGCTGTCAGTAGGGTCGTGAGAACCCAAAGGGCCAAAGAAGGGAAACCTTATAGCGTGGGCTCCAGGGTGTCGTCGTGATGGGTGAGTCCCCGAGTGGCCATCAAGCCGAAGGGCTGGGTGACGTGAATATTTATAGTTTTGTAATTAGGGAGACGGTGCCTAAGCAGCCCTATTAGTGTCACCAATCATGTCATCGTAAACCGAGTCTGCAGTCTTTAGACAGCGAGTGCTCTTTCCTGGGTCAGTGGCCGTCAGCCTCCCACAGTTGTTCGTGGCTGACAGTCGCTTTGCACTTACTTGGAGTAAATGTCTCTTGGGCTTTGTTTCTGCCGTGGTGGCTCCGAGGGTCCCCGACTCTCGGTGAAAGTGCCGCCCCGAACCCACGCGGTCCCCACTCGAGGGAACACAGCTCCGTGCCACCTGTCTCCAGAGGGTGTACACGCTCGTTCCCAGACCCGCCCGTTCAGGAGAAGGCGGACGGCAGCGGAGAGTCCCGTGTGGGTGGCGAGAGCGGAGACTGATTTTCTGATCCTTGGAATCCAGGTTCAGACCTTGCTTTAGGAAGCCTGGCCTCCGTCAAAATAGTACGTGTGGTTTCCAGTGCCGCGCGTGGTTACGTTACAGAGTCGGTTCTCAGCACCGAGAAGGGCGAACAGGCAGGCGGCCCGGCGACAGCAGACCTCTGCTCCTGGCTTCCCTGTGCGGCCCACGTGACCAGGACAGAAGGTGACAGTCCCCTTCCGGGGAATATTCCTGATGGGAAGCCAAGTGCTCTGGACCCAGGGAGCCAGCAGCCTCCTCCCTGTTGCTTGCTGGTGATGCCGGGATGTGAGCGTGCATCAGTGCGTGATTGTGTGTGTGTGTTAGTGTGTGTGTGTGAGGTGGGATTCTGGGCGCCATGCCGCAGACAGAACATCTGTGGGGCACGCGACTCCCTGCCCCCCCACACCCCCAGAGACCCTGCTTCCACAGGCCGGTGGTGGGGCCAGGGCTCTGCGTTCCAACGTCACGGATTTGACGGAGGGACCCGAGGATCCGCGTGGCCGAAAGGAGTGAAGAAGCGAATGGTGGGAGAACATCCGGTCAGAGGTCGAGGAGTCGGCAGGAAGCACAGCCCAAAGCTATCACGTCCAGACTGCACACCGACTGTCGGCAACGCGGGCATCTGTGAGGACAAGGAGCAGGCTCTTCACAGCACCAGACGGAGGGGTCTCCATAGCAACACACATCTTGTACTCAGCCGTCTTAACCCTGCCTCTCCCTGGAGCAGGCCGAGGCCACTCAGCGCCGAGGGCAGTGGGTGCCGGCAGGGTCCAGGGGACCACTGCGGACACACACGGTGCGTCTTCCTGTCTCCCTAGCAGGGCAGCTCCGACAAGCTGACAAATCTCCATAAATCGGTGACGATCGCCACCGCACCCATCCACAATCCCTCGTGAACGAGGCCAAGAGCCACTAAAATCTACTCGGTTGGCAGCACACGTGGCCTGATCAGATGGGAGGCGTTTATGACCCTCCCTTGCGCCTCCGAAGGCGGGTGTTTGAGTGTCTGCTGCAGAGAGATGAACGTGTTCGGTCCGGCGTTGGTTCTGCCTCCCTTGCTGGGGGTCGGGTGACAGGTGGCACGTCCACCCTGTCACCTCTCTAGGACCGCAGGTTGGGGGCTGCCAAGGGGACTTAAAGGAAGACCTCACTGCCATGTGCCTTTATCCACAAATCCTTCTGGAGGCAAATATTCGTCGAGGCGGTACAGAAAATAAAGTGCGAGTGTTGGCATTTTTAGATGTGCAGACGAGGGTGACACGGAGACCATGTCACGATCAGAAGGCACGGAGGGAAAGGACTTTCTCTCCTGGGCTCCGAGCAGGAGCCCTGGGAAGGGGGTCAACTCGGGCCTCGGCCCTGGGGCCGGGTCTGTGTGCAGGGGCACGGGCTGGTCCCTGCAGCTGGCGTGCTCTTCCAGGTCACAGAGGAGACCTCTCAAGCGCCCCCTTCCCTCTGGCTTATTCTGGGACCTCTACACCAGAATTAATTTCTCCTTCTCTCCATTTTTTAAAAAAATTAAACTTATCGGGGCGACGCTGGCTAATAACATCACGTGCGTTTCGAGCGTGCAGTGCACAGCACACCCTCTGTCTACGGCCGCCGTGCCCGCTGGTGGGGACGCAGACCAGGGCAGCCACCGTGGGAACTGTGTGGACGTTTCTTCTCTTCACCAGCCTCCGTTGCAGAGGTAGCACACAGTATCTGAATTTCTACTTGTTTCCTCTACAAGACAGTGAGCTCACTTCCTCTACTCGGCTTCCTCCCCCAGTTCTCTGGACCTTCACCCACACACACTACGGGCTGAGTAAATGCTGCTCCAACAGGCAAACGAACGAATAGATGAACATGGTCAGGAGACAGCCAAGTGGCGGTGTTAAAAACCAGTGCTCACTGGACTTTTCCAGTCATTACTTTTCCCGTTGCCTCAGAAACTAAAAGGATGTAAAAAGAAGACAGCGACCTTGAACTTCAAGCTACTTTCTGCGTCTCAATCTAGTTCAGTAAAATGAGATGGACAGAGGGCAGCAGGCAGGGGAACAGCCTTTGTTCTTCGTTGCTTGGCAACCTGAACCCAGAGTGTAAACTACCTGCAGCCCCGGGCACAAGGTCCCCACGCAGGAGTGACACGGGCTGGTGGCTGAGCTGCTGCATGAACATGTGGACTTGTCCCTCGCATCCCTCTGGGAAGCCCCGTCTGTCACCCTGTCCCTCCCCCTGCAGGAAGACAGGTGCCCCTTTTCCCGCTCTGCAGTGGCCCTTTTCCGTGCAACAGCCCTTCAGGCCCCGCGTTCTCCCCTGAGCCCGCGTCTCCCTGCCCACCAGGGAGCTCACTCTGAGTGTCTGGAGAGCAGAGACCGCGCCTCCCTTACGCTTGAACTTTCCAGCCCCTCGCACAGTGCTACAGGTCAGAGCATTCCACCGCACACATGGTGGCGCTGTCCTGATTCAGGAGAAGGAAAGAAAGCCAATTTATAATTAAAATTCCAGCCAGGCCTTCCAAGAATAGCAGTCGTTTTAGAAGAAAACAGGAAACGTGTGAATGGCTTTCGGGAGATATTAAAACATGATGAAGTACACGCCAGTGGCGTTAACGCGTGAGCGCGACCTGTGCTCAGTTGAAAGGCTTTCGTTCCGATAAAAATCAGGAAAACTGTCGCAGGGTCCATGTGGCAGCTCCCGGAGCAGGCCTCGTCCTGACGGGAGAAACCGGACCTGGTGCGTTCAGCTGGCTGAACGCCTGGAGGTCCTGTTGTTTCGAAGCCGGAGGGCACAGGGCTGGTACAACGCTCACTCTCGGCCGCGGTCCTCTCGGTGTGGGCGCCGGTCTCCGAATTTGTGTCTGGCCTGTTTCCCAACACAGACACGAGGACGGTCTGCGGGGGCGCGTCCTGGGCAGAGCCACACAAGGGCCTGAGGGGAGTGTCCGGAGAGGGCGGGCCGCCTCCTACCACCCCCGGACAGCCTGCGTTGTCTTCCACGCTGTGGGTATTTCTTTTATTTTCCAAACAAAAACATCATCGACATAAAGAAAAAATGCACCAGCCTCAAAGGAACCATGTGACGACTTGGGCAGACCACAGGCTGGTGAGACCCTGCTCGGGAGAACGTCCCCAGCATCGGTCGGGGTCCACCCACCGCAGGAAGCCAGCGTGGTCCGGGCTCTGCTGCTGCGGCCAGTTTGCAGCACCGTGGAACTGGAATTCCACAGGACGGCTGCTCATGCGTGTGCGGCTCCTTTCACACGGCACCGTGTTTTGGCAGTTTGCCCCAGTGTGGTGGGTGTTCGGCAGTTGGTTTCTTTTCACAGGCGAATAATTTCCTGTTGTACCACACACCGTACAATTGACTATCCATTCAAAATGACATTTGGGCTGTCTTCACTTCTCCGACACTGTCAATGTAGCTGAAAGAGGTCTGCCGTGCGCGTCACGAATGTGCACACCACCCTGCAAGTGTGGACCAGAATGATCGTCAGCAATCTCACCGACCCCCGTTCGGGAACTTGCGATG